TCCTGGTGGCCCATCGGGGCCGAGGGCTCGAAGTGTCAGTTCGGGTTCCCCATCCTGGCCTCTCTTGGGGCCCTCTTGGGGCCCTCTTGGGTCGTCTTGGGCGCCTCTTGTGCCGTCTTGGGGCCCTCTTGGGCCGTTTTGCGGGCCTCATGGGGGCTTCTTGGGACGTCCTGGGGCTGATGGAGCCGCCTTGGAGCGTTGGAAGTCTGAGACGGCGAGAACGCGAAAATCGATGACAGTCCAACGGAACAACATTGATTTTGGCTTCCTGGAGGTCCGCTTGGAGCCCTCTTAGGGCGTCCTGGGGGTTTCTTAGGTCGTCGGGAGGTCATCTTGGGCCGTATTGGGGCCATCTTAGAGGCCCCAAGAGAGCTCCAGGAGGGCCCCAGATGGCCCAAGACAGCTCAAGATGGCGCCACGACGGCCTGAGAGAGCCCCCACATAACCTTACGGCACGCCCAGACAATCCAAGAAGACCCCAGCAGCCCCCCAAAGGACCCCGACAGGCCCCCACGAGGCCTCCAGGATGCCCCAATATAGCCCCAGACGGCCTCATCAGCCCCCAGGGTAGCCCCAAACGATCACGAGGATTCCCCCCTGCCTCGACGTCCTTTTTCTTGGGCTCCTTGTCGTCCTCCTTCGTCGTCGTTTCTTCTCCTCGTCCTCCTCCGCTTCGTTCCTCTTCCTCCTCCGCCTCCTCCTCCTCCTCCTCCTCATGGACTTCAGAAATGGGGAGTGGTCGCCGCGTTTTTGGGATCACCCGACCGCCTTTGCCCAGCACCTGGCTGAGGCGGCGGGAGGGGACGCGGATCTGCCGCCATGTCCGCGCGCGAGATCTCCAGGACGCGCGTCAAGCGGCGCGGGATGAGCGCCAACAGGCAGCAGTGACGCGCATGAAGCACCACATCCAGCGTGACATCGTGCGATCCCTCGTGCCCGCCTCTTTTCTGGACCGCCTCCACCTCCTCCACCGCCGCCTCTGCGCGTGGCACGGCGGGGCAGCGCCCAGGACGGTGGCCGAGATGACGTGTGGCAGGGCGGGGGGAATTTGGTTCAAGTGCGACCGTCGTGGCCCTGAGCTTCCTCAAAGCGGCGTGCGGCGGCTGGACGACTCGGGGGCGAATGCGCGCCCTTAGGGGTACGACCAGTCGCTTCGGGTGCCCCGACCCACGTGCATTCGGCGACGTCCGCCACTACCTCAACTTGCCCCTGCCTCACTGGCTCCCTCGTCCCTCTCATCGACCCCGACACCTGCCGATCCGATTCCACGGTGGGTCCTCTGTTTTTTCTACCCTCCGGCTGGCCCGCTCGCTCGTCTCGCCGCCTTTCGACGAGTCGTTTTTGGCCTTTCACACAGTTTTAACAAAGTCAAAGAAGGCGAAGAGCGCCCATCTGCTGCCGCCCCGGCTCGTGCATTGATGTTCGCGTGCCAAGAGTGAGATGTTAGCGTCTCCTCCTCCTCCTCATCTTCCCGTTTTTCCTTTATGGACACGGACAGATCAGTGAAGAGCAAAAGTTTGTTCAGGATTTCTGCTTGGCTGTCTCGCTGCCCCAGCTGCGTGGCCGACAGCGTCTCCATAGTTTCTGGTGGTCGGTTGATTTTGGAGCCCTTCCGTTCCATGCCCGGAGGATGGTCTCAGTGACCGCGTCTGGCTGTCGAGGCATCCGGCCGCAGTGGTCGACGAATTGGCGCGCCGCAGCGTATTGGCCCTCCTCGGCTTCGTTTCTCCTCGTACTCGTCCTCGTCCATCTCTTCCGCCTCGTCCTCGTGCTTGTCTTCATACTCGTTGTCTTCCCGCTTCCTCGCTGCCCTCCCAGGCATCCGCGCTGTCATCCTCGTCATCTGCCGCCTTGTCGTCGCCATCATTCTTTGTTTCTTTTCCCCTACGAGCCCAATTGACAAGTTCGGCGCTTCCCGTTCTTGTCCGCTCAGGTTGCGTGTGTGTGTGTGTGTGTGTGTGTGTGTGTGTGTGTGTGCGTTTTCTTTCTTGGGTCTATCCACGCTCGGCTGGAGGACCAGGACAAGTACATCGACCCGCGCGCGCTGGACAGCGACAGGACTCCCCTCCCGTCTGTCCTCTTCCTTTGCCCTCCTCCCCTTCTCCCCTTGTTTTCCCCGTCCCCCTTCACCTTCCCCTCACGTCCACTTCCTCCTTCCCTCCTCTCCCCTCTCCTTCCCCTCCCCTCCCCTCCATTTCCCGTCCGCCTGCCGTTTACCCGCGGGTGATGTTTGCGTGGGGATTTGTAATGTTGTTGTGCCATCACGCCCGTCTCCCTCCCTGGCCCTTCTCTGCCGCGCCCTTCCCTCCCCCCCCCGGTCCCACTTCCCTCCCCCCCTCCACTCTCGCTCCCGTTCCTCTCCCCTCCCCCTCTCCCTTTCTTTTTCTCTGACTCTGTCTCTGCCTCTGTCTCTGTCCCTGTCAGTCCGTCAGTCAGTCAATCAGTCAGTCAGTCAGTCAGTCAGTCAGTCAGTCAGTCTGTCTCTCTCTGCCTCTCTCTCTCTCTCTCTCCCTTCCTCTCTCCATCCTCCCCCTCTCCATATGTTATTATTGTTCCTTCTCCTTATTCCTCTCCCTGGATGGGAGTAGAAGCTGGAGGAGGAAGAGAAAGAGGACGAACAGGGGAAGGAGGAACATACGTGTCAGCAGTCAGCACTTCATGTATAGCAATGGGAGTAGCTATAAAAATCGCAGCTTCGGCAACATTCGTTTTTTTGTGGTATGAATATGAGGCGGAGGACGCAGCACATTGAGCGTGGTAAAAGTCGCAGCAAATGTGGCGTAGTTGTTCAGTGTGATGATGACTAGGATGACGACCGGGAGGGTTGAGAGGACGATGAGGTATTGGTTGCAAATGAGGACGATGGCCGAGGATATGTAGGCGTTGGGGGCGACGATGTCGGAAAAGGGGGACGAGGAGCGGCTGAGGCTAGAGGAAGTCAGGATACATTGATGATGCAGTCATTCTTCACACACCCCTCGCTTATTTAAGCTGCTTTCCGCACCCCCTTCAACACAGGGTTGGCAGGGCACCCGGAGATGGCGAGGTTTAATTTGAGCCTGCGTAAGACGTCACTGCTCTGGCCTCCCCCGCAGCCCTCGAAAGCGGCGACAGTTTCGCAGATCGCAGCGCCCCAGGGATGGCGAGGTCTAATCTGAGTCCGCGTAAGACGTCACTCCTCTGGACCCCCCAGCAAACCTCGAAAGTGGCGACAATTTGGGTTTCGCAGATCGAAGCGCCCCAGAGATGACGAGGTCCAATCTAAGGCCGCGTGGAACCCCGCTCCGCTGGCCCCCCCGCAGCCCTCGACAGTGGCGACAGTTTCGCAGATAGTAGCCCCCCAGTGATGACGAGGTCTAATATGAGTCTGCGTGGTTCCCCACTCCTCTGCCCCCCCAGCAGCCATCAAAAGCGGCGACAGTTTCGCAGATCGCAGCTCCCCAGGGATGACGAGGTCTAATCTGAGTCTGCGTGGGACCCCACCCCGCTGGCCCCCGCAGCAGCCCTCGAAAGTGGCGGCAGTTTCGCAGGTCGTAGCCCCCCAGGGATGGCGAGGTTAAGTCTCAATCTGAGGCGAGTGCCACCTATGCTGGCCCCCCCAGCAGCCCTCGAAACTGGCGACGGCTTCGCAGATCGCAGTCTTTCAGAGATGGCGGTGTCTAACCTGAATCTGCGGCGAGCACCCACTTTGCTGGCCCCCCGCAGCCCTCGAACGTGGCGACAGTTTCACAGATCACAGCCCCCCAGGGATGGCGAAGTCTCATTTGAATCTGCCGCGAGTGCCCACAGCCCCCAGGGATGGCGATGTCTAATCAAAATCCGCGGCGAGGGCCCACTATGCCGGCCCCCCTAGCAGCCCTAGAACGTGGCGACAGTTTCGCACATCGCAGCGCACCAGGGATGGCGAGGTCTAGTTTGAGACCCCGTGAGACTTCACTCCGCGGGCCCCCCCAGCAGCCCTCGAAAGCGGCGACAGTTTCACAGACGACAATGCCCCAGGGATGGCCAGTTCTAATTTGAATCTGCGGCGAGTACCCACTATGCTGGCCCTCCCAGCGGCCCTCGAAGGTGGCGACAGTTTCGCAGATCGCAGCGCCCCAGGGATGGCAAGGTCTAATCTGAGCCTGCGGCGAGTACCCACTGTGCGGGCCCCGCAGCAGCGCTTGAAGGTGGTGACAGTTTCGCAGATCGCAGCGCCCCAGGGATGGCGAGGTCTGATCTGAGTCTGCGGCGAGTGCCCACTATGCTGCGCCCCCCTCGGCAGCCCTCGAAAGTTGCGACAGTTTCGCAGATCGCAGCGCCCCAGGGATGGCGAGGTCTGATCTGAGTCTGCGGCGAGTGCCCACTATGCTGCGCCCCCCTCGGCAGCCCTCGAAAATGGCGACAGTTTCGCAGATCGCAGCGCCCCAGGGATGGCCAGTTTCGCTGATCGCAGCCCCCCACGGAAGGCCAGGTAGGAGGCAAGTTAGCGCGCAGGACGGAGCGAGGTGAGAGGCAGGAGAGAAGGGGAGAGGGAGGCGTGAGGATGCGACCACAGTGCTCTATTCAAAACGAGAGCTCAAAGCAGGAGGGCTGGGAAACAAACCTGGCCTCCATCGTTGAGAGCATCATCATGAAAACGACCCGCCTTCACGCTTGAATCTGTAGTAAATTGCTAAGACGAGTGTGCGCGGCGAAAAAGCTAGAGCTTCATTCTGAAGCCGGCTCGCCCCCCATCCTTGAAGAGAGCGTTGCGCATTTCAAGTTTCAGGATCATCAGTTGTGTGGACATCTCATTCGAAACGCCCAGCCCGGCCTACGGACACGTCTGGGGGTACGACATGGAGGAGTTATTTCGATGAGGAGGACGAGGAGGAGGAGGACGAGGAGGAGGAGGAAGAGAGGAAAGTGGTGGTGGTTCGGAGGAGGAGGAGGAGGAGGAGGAGGAGGAGGAGGAGCAGGGAGTGCTGGTTTCAAAGAGGTCGGTTGTATCCTTCGCGTGCGGGCATCCCTGTCTCGAGGTGCCTTCGGAAGGGGCTGGCGTCTGGCTGGGTGGCCCTTGGGGAGGTGCCGCAGCCTTTCTGGCTCAAACCTTTTGTTTTTCCGAAGAGAGCGCAAGCCCTCTTCCGTGGTCCCTCGTCCCCCTCCTCCGCCCTCCACCTCCACTCCTTCCCTCTTCCGTCCTCTTCTCCGTAGCCTCCTGCCTCCCACCCTCCTCCCTCCCTCCTTCTCTTCCTCCTCCCCCCATCCTCTTATCCTCCTCTTTGCAATCTTCGTCTTCTTGCTCCTGCTCCTTGCAATTTGTGTCCTGCGCCGGATCTTTATTAGAGGGGCATTGTTTCACCATCGTGTCCATGCATTTGTCACGTGCGTTGTTGTTTGTTTGTTTAGTCTTCTATTGAGTTCTCATTTCTACAGAAAAAAATGGATGATCCCCCTGCCTGGTAACCATTGTATTTCTCCTTGTAAGTGTTCCTCCTGGGCCTCGCACCTTGTTTTTTCCCAATCATCCTGTGGTGTTGGGTCCTCGTTTTGAAGAGACGGTGCCCCGCGTTCCCGCCTCCTTCCTCCCTCCCTCCTCCCCCCTCCTCCCCCTCCCACACCCATTCTGGCACACCCCTCACACGTTTCGTGGCCCCATAGGGAGCTCCACCGAAGGCCCCAGTGGCTGCGTTCGCTTTTGCGGCGCATGTGGTTCCACCCCCCATTTCGGCACACCCCTCACACGTTTCGTGGCCCCATAGGGAGCTCCACCGAAGGTCCCAGTGGCTGCGTTCGCTTTGCGGCGCATGCGGTTCCACCCCCCATGTCGGCACACCCCTCACACGTTTCGTGGCCCCATAGGGAGCTCCACCGAAGGCCCCCAGTGGCTGCGTTCGCTTTTGCGGCGCATGCAGTTCCACCCCCCATTTTGGCACACCCCTCACACGCTTCGTGGCCCCATAGGGACCTCCACCGACGGCCCCAGTGGCTGCGTTCGCTTTTGCGGCGCATGCGGTTCCACCCCCCATGTCGGCACACCCCTCACACGTTTCGTGGCCCCATAGGGAGCTCGACCGAAGGCCCCAGTGGCTGCGTTCGCTTTTGCGGCGCATGCGGTTCCACCCCCCATTTCGGCACACCCCTCACACGTTTCGTGGCCCCATAGGGAGCTCCACCGAAGGTCCCAGTGGCTGCGTTCGCTTTTGCGGCACATGCGGTTCCACCCCCCATGTCGGCACACCCCTCACACGCTTCGTGGCCCCATAGGGAGCTCCACCGACGGCCCCAGTGGCTGCGTTCGCTTTTTGCGGCGCATGCGGTCCCACCCCCATTTCGAGCCCAGCCCCTCAACAACGTTTCGTGGCCATAGGGAGCTCCACCGAAGGCCCCCATTGGCTGCGTTCGCCTTTTGCGGCCCATCGCGGTTTCCACCCCCCCATTTCCGATTTCGGCACACGCAAACCACCAACCCCTCACACTTTCGTGGCCCCATAGGGAGCTCCACCAAAGGTTCCTGGCTGCGTTCGCTTTGGGGGGTCGCATGCAGCTTCCCACCCACCATTTCGGCACACCCCTCACACGTTTCGTGGCCCCATGGAGCTCCACCAAAGGTCCCAGTGGCTGCGTTCGCTTTTGCGGCGCATGCGGTTCCACCCCCCATTATGGCACACCCCTCACACGTTTCGTGGCCCCATAGGGGGCTCCACCAAAGGTCCCAGTGGCTGCGTTCGCTTTTGCGGCGCATGCGGTTCCACCCCCCATTTTGGCACACCCCTCACACGTTTCGTGGCCCCTTAGGGAGCTCCACGGAAGGCCCCAGTGGCTGCGTTCGCCTGCGGTTCCACCCCCCATTTCGGCACACCCCTCAAACGTTTCGTGGCCCCATAGGGAGCTCCACCGAAGGCCCCGGTGGCTGCGTTCGCATGCGGTCCCACCCCCCATGTCGGCACACCCCTCACACGTTTCGTGGCCCCACAGGGAACTCAACCGAAGGCCCCAGTGGCTGCGTTCGCACGCGGTTCCATCCTCCATTTCGGCACACCCCTCGCACGCTTCGTGGTCTGAGGCGGCACCACCGAATGCCGCAGCGGCAGGTTCGGCATGTCGGTGTTGCCCCATGTCTGTACACCCCTCACACGTTTCGTGGCCCCATAGGGAGCTCCACCGAAAGCCCCAGTGTCAGGGTTCGCATGGCGGCCTTGGGCCATTTCGGCACACCCCTCACGAGGATCGTGGCCCCATGGGAGCCCCACCGATGTCGCCCGTGGCAGCATCCTTCATGGCTCTCAGAGCCCTCTCCTGCTTCTGCTCCTCGGTCAGGGGGACGCCGTCCTCGTCGTCGTCGGCGCCCGCGAAGACGGCCACGAACGTGTCCCTGAGCATGTCGGGCCCCGGCGGGGAGCCGTGGCTACATAGGGAGCGCGGGCGAAGATGGTATTCACAATTGCGGTATTCACAACTGCGTATGGCTGGGTCCTTCGCCAGGCTAACTTAGAAAGGGAAAGCTGGGTGTCACCAAACTGGGAAAGAACGCGTTCCGTGGGCGCTTGGAGGGGGGGGGGTTGGAGGGGGGGGTTGGTATTGGACCCCCACCCCTTGGATTGAAGGGGTGGGGGGGCGGTTCGAACTCCCCCCCCCCTCTCCCGTGACGGAAGGGGGTGGGGGTCCGAATCCCTTCCCCCTCCCCCCCCCTCCTCTCTCCCTCTCCTCAGGCCGGCGCCGGCGTCGGCGGCGGCTGGCGGCGGCGGCGGGGAGCGTTGATGAAGACGACGTTCTGCTTTTCTGGGCCGGTGCCAGCGCCTGCGGCGGCTGGCGGCGGTGGCGGGGAGCGTCGATAAGGACGATGGCGACGACGATGACGACGACGACGACGACGACGCTCCGACACCGTGCCATGGTTTTGGGTCAGAGTCCTGATGGATGCCTCCTGGGTTCTCGTCGGAGGGCTCTCGGGGTCCTCTGAAGGTCATTTGTGAAGCCTCCAAGGCGCCTCTTGGGCTTTTATTAGGGCCTCTCGGAGGTGGTGGTGGTGGGCTGTGGTGTGGTGGTGGTGGTTGTGGCGGTGGTGGGGGTGGTGGTGGTGTGATGGTTGGTGGTGGTGTTGGTGGTGGTGGTGGTTATTGTGGTAGTTGTAATGGTAGGCTGTGTTGAAGGTGGTGGTGGCGGTGGTGGTGGTGGTGGTGGTGGTGTGGTGGTTTCTGGTGGCGTTGGTGGTGGTGGTAGTTGGTAGTTGTGGTGGTGTTGGTGGCGGTGGTGGCGGTGGTGGCGGTGGTGGTGTGGTGGTTTGTCGTGGTGGTTGTGGTGGTATTGGTTGTGGTGGTGATGGTGGGTTGTGGTTGTGGTGGTGGTGGCGGTGGTGGTTGTTGTGGTGGTGGTGGTGGTGTGCTGGTTTGTTGTGGTGGTGTTCTGGTTGTGTTGGTGGGTGGTGGTGGTGGTGGTGGTGGTGTTGGATGTGGTGGTGGTGTGGTGGTTTCTGGTGGTGGTGGTGGGTTGTGGTGGTGGCGGTGATGGCGGTGATGGTGGTGGCTGTGGTTTTTGTGGTTAGTGGTCGTGGTTGTGGCGGCGGTGGTGGTGGTGGGATGTGGAGGTGGTGGTGGTGGTGGTGGTGGTGGTGGTGGCGGTGGTGGTGGTGGTGGTGGTGTGGTGGTTTGAGGTGGTGGTGGTGGTGGCAGTGGTCGGTTGTTCTCTTGTTGTGGTGGTTGTGGTGGTGGTGGTGCTGGTGTGGAGGTTTGCGTTGGTGGTGGTGGTTGTGGTGCTTGGGGGGTGGTTTGTGGTGTTGGTTTGTGGTGGTGGTGCTGTGCTGGTTTGTTGTGGTGGCGTGGTGGTGGGTTGTGCTGGTGGTTTGTGCTAGTGGTGGTGGTGGTGGCGGTGGTTGTGGTGGTCGTTGTGGTGGTGGTGGTGTGGTAGATCGTTGTTGTGGTGTTAGTTGTGGTGGTTGTTGTGGTTGTGGTGGGTTGTTGCTGTTGTGTTGGTGTTGGTGGTGGTGGCGGTGGTGGCTGTCGTGGTGGTGGTTGTGTGGTGGTTTGTGGTGGTGGTGGTGGGTTGGGGTGGTGGTAGTGGTGGTAGTGATGATAGTGGCGGTGGTGGCGGTGGTGGCCTGGTGTTTTGTCGTGGTAGTAATGGTGGTGTGGTTGTTTGTGGTGTTGGTGGTGGTGGCGGTGCTGCTGGAGTTGGTGTTGTGGCGGTGGTGGTGGTGTGGTGGTGGTAGTTGTGGTGGTTTGTGGTGGTGTGGGTGTTTGTGGTGGTGGTGGTGGTGGGTTTTGGTGGCGGTGGTGGTGGTGGCGGCTGTTGCGGTGGTTGTGGATGTCTGTGGTGGTTTGTGGTGGTGTGGGTGTTCGTGGTGGATTGTGGTGGTTGTGGTGGCGGTGGTGGCGCTTTTGAATGGTTCGTGGTGATGGTGGTGGTTGTGGTGGTGGTGGGTTGTGGTGGTTGTGGTTGTTCTGGTGGTGGTTGTGGTGGTGGTGGTGGTGTGGTGTGTTTTGGCTATGGGTCAAAGTTCTACCAGATACCTCTTGAGGTCTCGTACGAGTGGTCTCGGGGGCGTCTGCGGAGCATTTGTGAATCCTCCTGGACCTTCCCAAGGGCCTCTCGGCTTTTGGGGGGCGAGGGCTCGACATGGCGTTTTGTGTTTCCCCTCGTGGCCTCTTGGCCCTCGCTGGTCGTCGTTGCTGCGTCCCCGCCGTCGGCGCTGCTGGCCGCTGGCCGCCGCCAGCGCCGGCGCCGGCGCTGGCGCCGTGGGGGGGGGTCTGGAACCCCCCCGGGGCCGCCCTTCCCCTCCCTGGCAGCCTCTCTGGTCATCGTCGTTGCGTCCCCGCTGTTCCCTAGGGAATCTTAATGATTCCGGAGGGAGTGCTAAGGATTCCGTGGAGACGCCCAGGATTCCGTCGGGAGTTCTAGGGATTCCGTTGGGAGTGCTAAGGATACCGTCGGGAGTGCAAAGGATTCCGTTGGGAGTGCTAAAGATTCCGTAGGGCGTGCTAAGGATTCCGTGCGGAGAGCTCAGGATTCCGGAGGGAGAGCTACGGATTCTGGAGGGAGAGCTAAGGATTCCTAAAGGGTGTGCTAAGGATTGCTGAGCGGGCGCTCAGGACTCCTTAGGGAGTGCTAAGGATTCTTCAAGGGTTCCTAGGATTCCCAAAATTTTCATTGGGATCCTTCAGGGATCCCTCAGGAGTCCCGAGGG